TTTTTTTGTTTTTTTTTTTTTTTTTTTTTTTAATCTTACAGTTTATTCTTTTAAGGCCTTTTTTTATTGTCATTATAGTATAATAATAATTACAGGGAACCCCGTAGCAGCCACATCCGTGCTCAAGCCTCGCTGCACCCACATCCGTGCTCAAGCCTCGCTGCACCCACCAGCAGGTGCGATACCCCAGCTACAGCAGGTACAGGTGGGGGATACGGGCCAGGGGTCGGCCGTTAGCATCAGGACAGAGCTTCTTAGATGGGCCAGTTGCTGTGCCTCCCCTCAGGTGGTGGTCCCCTCCCCCTATGAACATCAGCAGTCTCTGCTCAATGCTAGTTGGGAGACCAATGGCCTAGTATCTTGAGGTGGCGGGCGCCAAGCTTGCCCAGGAAGGTACATGAGGCCAAATTGAATGGGGATCGAACCCACGTCTGGGGTGTGAACAGACCGACAGTCTGTAGAGTTTTCCATCTGGTGTGGGTGAGTGATAGTCTGCTTTGATTTTCTTCGCAGGTACCTTGAGGGCAGTGGTTGGTGGTCCCCGCCACCTCAGAGGGGTATGAGTTGCCGGGCAGTCGTTGATGCTTAACCACAATTGGGGTTAAGGTGGGATTATCACTTACAGTGTAATCAGTTAGGGGATTCTGCTGCAGACTGTTGAGGGTTCAGCCTCCTGATGAGTCAGCGAAACTCCAATGAAACAGTTTGTCACAGCCCCTCGTTTGTTGTCCTCTTCTCTTTTTCTCTCTGCCTACGGTTTACCGGGCAGCTCTGTTTGACTATATATTGTCCTCTTCTCCTTCTCTCTCTGCCTACGGTTTACCGGGTATATATAGTCAAACAGAGCTGCCCGGTAAACCGTAGGCAGAGAGAGAAGGAGAAGAGGACAACAAACGAGGGGCTCGGGCAAACTGTTTCGTCGGAGTTTCACCGACTTATGTGCTGAAGTGTATGGTTGTGCCCGTAGACAATAATAGCGTCTTCCCCCGAACGTAAAGCATATGTGCTGTACACGAAAACAACGCATAGTGTGCATGCATTCTATTACATTCAGCGCGTATGCGTCTTCCCCCCCCCCCGAACATAAAGCATTCGAATACTACGCATATGCGTTTTATTTGAATAGCCCTAAATTTTGAATACAGTGCATTGCGTTCTATTTGAAGAGCCCTAAATTTCGAATACAGCGTGTATGCGTTCTATTTGTTGTTTTTTTGCAAATTTGAAAACTCGAATACAACGCATATGCGATATGCTTGAGGGAAGAAGGTATCGTGACTCATGTGTGTGTAATATGTTGTGGTGACAGGCCTATCTGGACAAGAACCCCCCCAAAGTCCGAAGCCAGATTCGAACCCGCGACCTGCAGCATGTAACTGGAGTGTTCTACCATATGTCCTACCATTTCACACATTAGGCTCGCTTGCATTGTGTACCTCTGTGCGTCGACGAGGTACTGTCTACTTGGATGGAATTCCTTCGTTGGTTCTCACACACACACACACCCAAAAAAAAAAAAAAAAAAAAAAAAAAAAAAAGTCACGCTACTCGAGATAAGGCAAGGCATGGTTCTAGACGTGTTCGGCAAAACAATGATGGAGTCCTGAAAAAACAAAACAAAAAAAAAGGCACAGCAAAGTGAGCTGATAGAGATCTACGGGTATGTGGGTAGAGATTTTATTTATCTATCTCCATGGGTAGCTTTCTTTTCGTTCCGGTATTCTGTTTTGAATCTTTTATGGTCTTCTATGAAATGTATAATAATATTTTGCCAGAAAATGTCATCTTTTCTATTTACTAATGAATCATATACCATAAGCTCCAATCATGCACAATATTGAAATAATACTTGGAACGAGAAACAACGCCGCCGGAAGTTAAGCATAATCCTTTTTAAAGAAATGGAAACAGAATCCGTATCAGTCTCGATGTGGATCGTGCAGGATCGGGAGGCTGACAGTTTTAGGTTCGAACTCGTGGTTTAAGCCTTTAAGGTTTTGCAGCAGCTTTCGTTTCCCAACCATACTGGTATCCTTTGCACCCTTTTTTGCAGCACTTCTCTCAAATACAAGGACTACAAATCTAGATATGCCCCGCCACCCCCCAAATAAATAAATAAATCAATAAATAAATCAATAAATAAATCATATAAAATAAATAAATAAAGAAATAAAGAAATAAAATAAATTAATAAATGAAGGGTCAAAATTCCACAAATGCAATAACAATTTCTCATTCTTAACTCTTAAGTTTATGTCCAACCGTCACACTTCGCCTTGTCTTGTGTTGACTTGGCTTTCTCTCGTGTTGACTTTGGCTTTCTCTCGTGTTGACTTGGCTTTCTTAAGTTTATGTCCAACCCCTACGTTTGTGCACGAGATGTTACGTGACACTGTTGTAGAGGTTGGACACTGCCGTCTTCACCCGAATACAACACCTGGTCATTATAGCTGTATTTGGGCCAACTTCCAGACCAGATGCAGCGATAAATGGCCGGGTTTTCTTATTCGGGTGAAGACGGTAGACACACGACAGTCACCTTCAGTAGTCAGTCATATGTGGTCATCCAGATGGTGAGGTCATTATTCCGTACGGGACTTCCTCCCAACCTAGCACTACCTCATCGTGATCCCTGGGTTCACCCAACCGGTCACATTCTAGAGGATGTTGTGCTCGAATAGAGAGTGGTTTTGAAATAGTCCTCATGCGTGTACAAAACTTCCCTGGAAAAAAAAAAGGAACGGAAGAAGTTCCCGAATATAAAAGCAACCCCTTGAACGTGATCCAAAAGAATCTCTGACTGATTCTCTCAATCTCGAAGGGCCGACTCACCACACTACCGTCTTCCTGCGAACATAACGCACCCTCATTTTGCCTGTACCGGACCGGAAAGATAGCTTCTATACATTCATGATCAGGGTGCGTTATGTTCGGGGGAAGACGGTAGGCACTCAAAAACGCAGAATCACAAAATCAGTGGCCAGATCCAGTCCTCCTAATCGAAGAACTCGATCTGGCCGCTCCTTTCGCTGTTCTGAGATTTTGAGAGAGCCAGCTGTGAGTATACTCTAATAATAATAGTGTAAGCGCCTACTCACACGAGGCCCTCAATTATAAGGAATCGTCATTCAATCATGCCAATAAGATTACAAATAAAAAAAAAGTAAAAGCGACAAAGATGAGAAGGAAAAAAAAACGTTGTTTAACTGCCGGTGCTGTACACCACTTATTTCAAGTTATTTGTTCATTGACCAAGTTTAGAACCAATTCATAAATCATTTCAACGAAAGATTGCCAAGCATTGGGTACCAAATGACCTCCATTCATAGTGACAAAATGGCCGAGTTGCAGAACATGAGAGGGTCAGATCGAGTGCTTCGCAAAGGAACACTCTATCTGGGCCCTCATTTTGAGATTCTGCGATTTAGAGGGATAAGTGTGGAGTATACTCTAAGAATACCTCAAAGGCTTAAACCAACAGTTCGGCAGATCATATTTACTGAAGTACTAATATTGATACAATAGCTAATATGATCTGCCGAACCAGTTTTATTCCTCTAATATTAGCTAAAGTATTAACATTGATAGAATAACCTTAAACCCAGTTTTATTCCTCTAATATGAGATCTATTATTATTGGCATAGGGAAATTCTCTAAATATGAGATTTATTACTCGAACTTTGCACCGACGCAAAACTGAATTCATTGAAAAAAAACAAACAAACAAAAAAACAAACAAACAAACGAACTGAAGTCACTGGTAAAACAGCTTTCATTCTATTTTGAGAATTTTGCTATGCCAAATATCAAGTGTTTTTTTTTTTTTTTTTTTTTTTTTTTTAATGACCCTTGTGCAAGGCCTCTATTCGAGTGGCGGTAAGAGAACCACCCGGATTGAGGCTTTGCCTAGTGGGGCGCACCGTCTAATGGTGGGGAGCATCACCTGCTGGA